CGTTTGACCCCAGAACTCTTTCCTGCCATGGCAGGGGGTCGGACTAGATGATCTGCTCAGGTCCCTTCCGACCCTACTACCTATGAAACAAACACCTTTAAACAAAATAATACAAAACAACTGCACAAGACTGCCTTCAACTTCTCTGTCGAGAACATGGAAAACATTATTTAGGCTACAACCAATATCAAAAAACATTGACTTTACAACAACTTAAGTGATACATCTATATTTGTATTTCTTCATTCCTTGATTACCTTTGCCATGACTTCAGGATCTGGATCTTCTATAGGATCAGCCCATTCAACTGTAACAACATTTCCCCAGACTTTTACTTTGCCACTCATTAACCTGCGCCTGGCTTGAGCAGCAGTTTTATGATCTTCATATTCAAGGAAACAGAAACCCCTGTTTTTTTTCTTGTCATCAGGTTGATGGTACAATATGACATCTGTCAGACCCTCTGAAATTAAACAAAATATTTTTTAAATGCAACTTCAATTGAAGTGTTATGATATAAAACAAAAGGATGATCTAACTTAAAAAACATGTGATCTACAAGATATGAAAACAGCATGGACCATTTTTAAGGACTACTGTAAAGGGACCAGGTTACCTTTCTATACCTTCAGAATTGTAACTCACTTGTCACTGTAGTATCTTGGCATGCATGGGAACACTTTCCAGGACATAAGAGACAAAGACAGTGTTAAGACTTCAGAAGAGTCTTAACACTGCTCAACCAGAAAGTGCATAAGGATACCCAACAGACAGTTTTCCATGTTAAAAGGAAGTATGTAATAAAAGTTATAGCTCCTTAATTCATTTGCCTTAGTTACATGAGGGCAAGAGAATCCTTTAAGTCTAATAAGACAAAAACAAGAGAACCACCTCCCTATTAATTGGTCTCTTTTAGCCACAAAGCACAGCATCTCCCTTTGAGTTGTAGAACACTTTTCCTCCCCCCAACAAGACTACTTTCATTTGCTAGGTTGTTGTAGGTATACAATCTAAGGTTTAGTTATGGACAGTAGACTGTATTACTCTAAAACAGCGGTTCTCAACCTTTTTTGTACCAGGACGCATTTGTAAACATCAAAAGGACAGTCCCAACCGAGTGCCCCTCACTCTCGCCCTGCTGCCCACTGCCCCTCAGTGTACGGGGCAGGGGAGGCCCAAAGCCTGCAAGAGAAAAGCCATGGTTTCCCACATTTTTCTCCTTTAAAGAAAAATCCATTTTTAAAGTTTGTTCGGAATCCTTTCATATGATCTTATGACCCAGTTTTGGGTTGTGAATCACAGGTTGAGAAACGCTGCTCTAAAACACAGTATTGCCTAGGCAAGAATGACAGATTACCAGCTGACTAAAAGTAAGACATCCAAAAGGCTAGGACAAAATTGACAGAAGTAAAGTCGTCAAACCTGATACAACATAACCTGAAAGACGGTGAAGAGTTAATCACTGATCATACATTTTACCCATTTATTTCTGTCCAGCTCCCAAAACATACATACTGACTTACCTGTAACTTTGCTAAATTCTTCAACAATCTGTTCCTTGGTTTTACTCTTAGGAATAGAGCCAACAAAAAGCCTGTTATTGGCAACAGAGATGCATACACCAATGTGTTTCCCGGAACGAATTTCATGATTGTTGTACTGAAATAAAAACAGTAAGATAAATTATAAATAAGCTTTCTGTCTCCCAATTCAAAGATATCCAGACCAAATATTTTTTCCTCTCTAGAGCTACGATTATCAAGGTATAAAATTCTTCGCAATTTAATTAATACATCTGTTGTGGCATGTACATGACTGCATTTTTGTGGTATTTTTTTCCCCCACCACAGGTCCTCAATTTCAGCTAGCACTGCCTTCCCCTCCCCCCAGGTCTCTAAGCTTCATCTTTCCTTCCTGAAGGAAACTACGGACTCAAGACTTCACAAGAGGAAGAACCATAGTCAATGCAGCTTGTTTTAGCAAGCCCCTCTCCTTAAACTGAATCAAGCATAATAAAAAGCAAATTGAAGTTCACTTCAACAATTCCCTGTACAACTCCCATACGTAACAAAAAAATAAAAACAACCTTCAGACAGTAAGAATTTCTTCTCAAGAAGTAATCACAGAATCAAATCCAAAGCTATGAGGATATGCAAGAGCAACTGCCAAAATACTTCAAGGGTACCTTAACTGCGCAGGAGAAAAAAAATGAATTCAACTGAATGAATCCTAAAAAAACCCTTTAAAACTTGCTACTCAAATACCACTCCCAAAGTGGGCAGTTTAGGCATAGCACCCTGGACAGGCTGAGTCTAAAAAAAGTGCATGGGGTGGGGGTTAACACCCTGTATTTCCTTTATTTGTAGAAATAGTCATCTCACAGGCAAAAGACACGTGTTAATCAACTTCTCTACTCCTTTAACAGCAGGTCTCCGTTTTCCCTTTTCGAGAGCCAGCTCTTCATGTAGGGAAGTGTGTATTTCTTTAAGACCCTGTCAACCTCACATTTGTTCTAGTAGCAATTTTAGTTTTGGCGTTTTCAGGTTTCCACACCTCTTCTTTCCCTCTGTAGTGAATGCTACTGAGAATGTCTCATGTTTTGATAATACAGTTCTGCTGTTTTGTACTACTGTAATACCAATGGTGTCCCGCTGAAGATTTTAACAAATGCTTGACAACTATATGCCAATAGAGAGTTAAAAAAAAAAAAAAAAAAAAACCCTGCCACGTCAAAAGGATTCTCCTCTCCTTGTTGGTTGTAGAAGCATTCCCGGGTAGCCCAGAAAAAAGATATAAAGCTTTATTTAAAATATCCACTGCTCTACTTTTCAAAGTGCAGAGAAAAAGCAGTCTTCAAAACAAAGCAATGAA